CCCCCCCCGTCCCCTGCCTCTGCCTAGGATCTGAAGCCCTAGAGTGCAAAGCACACAGCAGGGTCCCTGCAGGAAACAAGGTCTGGATGGAGGCCGAGAGAGAGGAGGCTTGCTTGACCTCACAGACCTTTTGACCTCTACCTCACAGAACTTTTCTCCTCTGCCTCTCCTTCCCTGCCTGTAACCCATCCCCATGTACCCTTCTGCTCCTCCAGCAGCTGCCCTGGTGGAAAGCAAGATGCCCCCACGCTGGAGCAGGGTGGGGAAGGGCGGCTCAGAGCAGCTGCTTCTCTGAGGAAGCTGACACCAGGGCCAGCCGCTTAGCAGCAACTTGTGGCTTTGCACCCAGCCCGGGGTCCCGCCCACCTGGCTGTGGCCAGTCAGTTCCCTGCTGTTTCTTTTCCCCCCCAGCTCCCCTGGCTTCCCTCTGACCCAGGCAGCCCAGCCTTTCTGCTCCTTGAACTCTAGCTTCCTTTTGTCCTCATTTCCCTCTACCTGGCCTCCAAACTTGGGTCCTCCCCATTCGCTCCCTCTGGAGCCTCTCCTTTGCCCCAGATTCCCCAGGTATACCCTGTCCTGCATCCCAGGGGGCAGGGCCCCATTCTTACTCCTTTCTGGGCTGGCAGATGCTTCGGGGTTGCAGCAGCCTGAAGACCACACTCCTGTGGAGTCAGGCCTCCAAGCCCCTTGGGTTAAAGGATGTGCTGTGTGAAACCGAGGTGACCCTTTATGGTGACTTGGGGTGACCCCACCCCATCCTGAGATGGTTATCCTGCTTTGCCATCAGCACATTCTGGAGCCTCTTGGGTTACCTAGCTGCCTGCGTGTCCCGTTTTGTTTGGGGGGGGGGGATTCCCTGTCAAGGGTGGGGGGGGGGCCTTGAAGGCCATGTTCCCAGAGGCTAAGCTAAAGCGCCGGGGAGGGGGGGAATTTAGGGGAGAGACAGGCAGTCCTGGCTTTGCTCACCAGGCCCTGGACACTAAATCCCTTGTTGATGGCTGCGACAACCCCTCCCTAGGGTAGGGTTACCATCTTCTGTCCTGTTCCCTGACCCTCTCCCCTCCCTACTTCCTCTTATCCTTCTAGAATCACTTCCCCTGACCCCCCAAAAGAT